TATATATATATATATATTGAGAGAACAAACCTTGTTAGCAAAGCAATGGCCAATTCGCCTTTCTGTCTACGCGCTGCTTCACTTAGCAATGGGTAATCCTCTTCGGAAAATAAGGGACGCGCACCAATGGCGTCCAAAGCTGCTTTCAGGGCAAGGTCGTCATCTTGTGGTCGGCGCGAACTCACTCGAGCGGGGATTACCCTTGCAGTTGGTTGACTAGATGAGCGATGTCATTGGAAAAAAAAACTAGGAGCAATGAAACAAACGCCTTACCCATTCTGATCCAGTTCGCAAACGTTGAAAGAATAACTCAATCTATCGAGAATGAAATGTGCCAAAGCTATAGGAGGTACAATTTGCGATGCTACAGCAGTAGCCATTTGCACAGCTGCATCTCTGAGCTGTTCTAACTCGTGATCTTCTACATTGGCAGTTTGGAGAAGGGACACGATTTCACCTTCCTGTAATGATGTCAGATTTAAAGTACATATTGAAGCAGCGACAATAGTAACGTACCAAATAATATAGTTTCACTTGAAGATATTTAGTCGCCATCGGATATTTAGGGCATTGTAGAACGTTTAACAAAAAAGTGAACATCCCTGCATGATTGGCTTCATCGGTGCTGAGGATCTTAAAGAAATCACAATATGTTCTAATCACAAAAGAAAAGACAAAATTAGAAAAGAAGAATATGTACGTGAGCTAAGTAAAGCGCTTTCTCCAATGCATCTACAAATCTCTGACTTCGTTGTACAAAAGATTCCATAGAGTGTGCCGTGACATCGGCGCTTGTACTTGGTGCGTTTGGCTAAATATTTTCATTTGACTTTTGAGACAATAGATGGGATATAATTTACATGATGTGAGCGAGCATCTTCGACATCCGAAAGGTCTTGGAGGTGGCCAACGAGATACTTGGAAAGCTGAAGAGCTAGTGTAGTTGCCTAAAAGAGCTAATTTCGCACATACCTTTGAAATCTGTTTCAACAAACTAAAAACTCCTGATAGAGCTCTGCATAAGTGGCATATAGTGATTCATAAAGTTTATCAACAATATTCTGCATTACCTGCGGTATATATCCATGCGCAGCAAGTGCCTCACAGCGAGCGAATCGAACCTCTATGGGATCCATAGGAAGGTAAGCAGCTGCTAATACGGCATCAACTTCTTCATGAGCAAGGGCCCCTGACCCTCCAGCCTGACCATCTCCCATGATACCGGCAGAAGGAGGCAGCTAAAAGCGAAAAACCCTATCGCTGAACATGGCAGAGACAAGCCTGTGTGGTAAAAGCAAATTTCCAATCAATTTCTAATGTCGTACGAATGGAAATAAACAACTATGCATTTTGAAGTCGAAGCACCGCTAAAAAATACATAGACTCCAGTGTTTTTAAGGAGCAAAATACGGTCACTGGACAAGAAAAAACCAAGACAGGAAATTTTGAGATAAACCTATTTGCTCACCTGAACATCACTTTCCTGTCCAGATTCCGAGCTGTCTTCCTCGCGCATAATCTCGTCACGCAGTGTCCGTTGTCGACGTTCACAGTCATTCTGAAAAAAATGGCATGGCGGGTCAAGGTGCTAAATCGTAAGGAAAACAGCTTGTTGTTGAGATGCAGAACATTATAACTGCAATAA